TCATGAATCAAGATCTCCAAAATAGAAGTTACATCGTCAGCGATCCCTCATCAAGAATTTGATTCGTCAATTAATTTTAGCTCATTACCGATTTCTTCTAGGAGCTACGCAACAGCCAGAAGAGAGGTATTTTCAAACCGACTTATTAACCTCGTGTGCACTTAGGAAATCGCAATGGTAGTCTTTACTATTTTGCATTTCTTACATGTCACTTGACACACACAAAAAGTGCGTTGTCAACGAATGAGATGTAATTGTGCATTCAGGAACGTGTAATTACTAATCTCTTTGCAACCGCGGATTAACGCAGGATCTCGCTTTGATATTGCAAAACCATATTGATTTCATTACAAATTAGCAAAAAATTTGATCGAGAGAGGGGAAGTTATTGAATCCTGAGTTACGTCTTGCTTTGACGTTTCCGACGAAGAAGCAAGTCAAAGGTTGATTCTTGGAAATTGGACCATCGGATTTCCTTACCAACTTATTTAAAAGACAGTCGGAAATCCCTTATATTCTTGACATATCTCTCGTATATGTTGCATATAGATATCACGTGTTTTCTATATGACATGGTACTTCTTGTTTCAAGCTCTTGCATCAAGCCTCTTTTCCTTTGTTCGTGATTTTTGCTGATCTCTTTTTGTTCATTCTATTATTCGCCGTTCCATTTCCTGCCTGGATGTTAAAGCAAAATTAAAATAAAAGGAAACGTATCCTGGCAGATCATCCCAGGGCTCGTAAAAAATGGTCAAAGGAATTTCTCTTAATATGATATCCTCTGAACTTTTCAGCCTCTCAAAAATTTTCAAACAAATTGGCTAGATCAGAGATTTCAATCCTTCGTTTAACACAAGTTTTTACACGGCGAAGAGAGATCAAACGGACATGAGAATTTGATTTCGCGGATCAATCACTGCAAAAGATAGTGAGGTATTTTCTAAATGAAGCAATTTGCTGAGTGGTGGAAAACAACCGATGTCAGGCAATCCGTCTTGCTTTCCGAGGGTCGATAATTGTACTCCATCCAGCCGGAATGCCTGACCTGTAAATTTTTTTTAAAGCTTTTAATTTATCGGCTCGACTCGATGCTGCCTAACGAGAAGAGGAAACTTTCAACTGCACGGCACGGGGAAATAAAAGTATTCCCTTTTACGACGATGTATCGTCAAATGTTTCGGTACAGCCTTTATTTAAGGGAATGGAGATTAACATGAGTCTGGTAATTTTAATGCAATCTACTTTGAAAGCATTTATTTCTCCCGAAACCTTTTTCTTTCATTAGCCTCGCGTTCTGCATTCGTCTCGATAAGAGTTCGTTAGCATCCTGAAGGGGAAGATCCCCGCTCCTATTTTTAGGAATAATCTGTCAGAAACCCTTCAAAATCAGAATCCTTTGTCACTTGAGCTTCCGGCGTTCCTAATTTCCGCGTTTCTTTGCCAGGAAAGACTCACTGGATGTAACCATCCCATTTTCCGAAATAACATGAAACTCAATTAAGAGCGTGCGACAGACGCAGAACCGCTCTCAAAATAGTACGACATTGTCTTCGACGAGTAAACAGGACTGTTGTAAACACTAAAATCAAAGTTAAGGACCATTTTAACGATATAAAATTATATAATACGAGGACGTTGAATTTCCATTTACACAATTCTCTCTTCTCGCCGCGAAATTCCCGGAGCTTCGTTATTTATTCACGCGATAATTTCATTTCTGTAATAATGAATGTCGTAAGAGCCATTGTGCCGGTGCCAGTTTTTTCTTTGTTTTTCAACAGAGCTATTCAACTGTAAGCTGTAAGGAAAATAAACTGGGAAAGAAAGTTTTGTTCTGTAACTAGGAGACGAGAGAAATCTTGGCTCGTTTACTGTCACGAGACAAAAATTCTTCTATCGTGATTTTTCTGTCCAAACTCATTATTGTAAAGGGGCTTCGTTAAAAAGTCACCATAAACGCGTTGCACCGTGTGTATTACTGCAGGCAAAGTTGTAGTCCGCCGATTTCAAGGAAGTTGATAAAGTTATTATGCAAAGGCCGACCTTGAAAGATGTGTCAACTACATAATTTCTACCAACGCAATGTCACTTTTCCTTTACTACGAATGCAATCGCGAATTCTATCTATTTTGAGGCACCTGTGAAATTAATTGGCATAAACACTTCTTTGAACTAAACCTTGAATTGAACCTAAGCAACAACATCGGTTTTCCGACACTTGAGATTTTATTCCTTTTCCCAGAAATTCAGATCTCACCTTAAAATTAAACCATTAACATCCCAAACATTTTTTATCAGAGTGCCTTTTTTTCTTTCAATTCTTTTATCATAACGAATTATATCGTCTGAATTAATCGCAAAGTTTATCATTTCCTTGAAATGAACCTTAAATTGAATCTAAGCAACAATATCGGTTTTCCGACACCTGAGATTTTATTCCTTTCCCCAGAAATTCAGATCTGACCTTAAAATTAAACCATTAACATCCCAAACATTTTTTATCAAAGAGTGCCTTTTTTGTGCGATCGCCTTAAAATTAAGTCCATTAAAAGCGGAAGTACTTTCCGTTACGAAGTTTCCTCAAGCTCGATCATTTCAAATTTCACCATGATCGCACTCAAGCCATATTTTCCAATGTCCCGATAATTTGTTTATTCCTCTTGAGGATGCCAGGTCTCAGAATCTCAGAATAAAACATTATCAGGACAAGCCCTATTCCCTCGATTTTCATGAAAAGGTTTACATTTCCCCAAGGAATCTATCATGCGATTTTCCATCCACTCCCCATGGAATACCACCTGCGGTCCCGAGTCGAAATTATCGATCTCGGTTAACCCTCCATTTTTTTAATATACATCCAGTTCGCCAAGAAAAATTTCCGCTTTATTAGTTTCACTAAAGAGTTCCTTTCTCTCGGTACAGCCTCCAAGTCCTCGTAACATTTCAATTAAACTAAAGCTCCAAAAATCCCAGGATTAAATCTTCAGACTAGCCACAAAAGAGAAATGAAATAAAGTTAATTGGGAGATATGTTAGAAATACAGCATCATATCCATAAAAAATAGAATCTTAAATATCATTTAATACTCCAATTTGTTAATATTTTATACAAAACTCTTTCTAGGGTCAAAGGTGAATGGGGTGATCTGGAGAATGAAGCGAAACTCAATCTAGTGTTTAAAAATTGAAGTCTTCGAAGTCTAACCAAAATGCTCACTTGCACCACAACCATTTTCCTTTTTCTACTCTGTTAAAACTATTCGTTTAAGCCACATATATATGCATATGTACATATATAAATGTATATAATGTATACATAGGATACATGTATACATATATATACACGTGTAATCGAAGTTGGGTCGAGGATTGTCCCAAAGTGTTAAGTCTCGGAGCTCGCTATAGGCTCGCTTCTCGAAGCGCACAACACGCAGGTTCTCCGCGCAGCGGAAAAGCGCGGTCGTTCGCGCTTCACCGTGAAAACCGGGCGCACTTCCTCGCGGGTTCCCGGAACGTGCGGACCTCCCGAACCGGCGATCGAACTTCGATCGCTAGCGAGCTGCGGAAGAGGTTAAGTTACCGTTAGTTGCGGCGGCTCGTCCCAGAGTGCGCTGTGATCGCCCGGCGGATGATGCAACAAAACTGAAGCGTGGCGGATAGACGCGAAGTTGAACCCAAGTCGAACAGGTCTGCGACGGTTATCAGTAACCGAATGGTGAGGCAAGAGACAGGTGAAGAAGAATAAAGAAAAGTGGAGCGACCTCCCGGTGAAGTTTGCGCGAATAGGTGAAAATCAGAAACGGACGATGACTGAAGTTAGGGATGAAATGGGATGGTAAGAGTGAAAGTTGAAATGGAAAAAGAGGTGACGTGAAGTTGGCCGCTATTGATACACACATGATAAGTGAAGTTGACGGATTGGTTTGAATTTCCAGCGGATAGTGTACAGAGATGAAAAGTAGGATGGATTGGTGAGAGTGAGAGTGTACCGAGAGGTGAAGTGAAAAGAGTAAGGAGATAAAGGTAAAAGTGACTGTCGGTGAAGAGGCGATGAAAAGGGCTGGATGATCCGGAGAAAATCCATTAATTGCAGGTAACGGACTGCAAGAGGTTATCGATGATCGATCGGTGCGAACGCTCGGAGGGGAAGTGGAGTGGATTGGTGAGACTTCAGATTGATAACTGCACTTGATTCTACTCCATCGATGTAAAGTATGCTAAATTTATCAACTTAATCTTAATGAACTGCCAATGACCAACCGGTCGGTTGGATCATCAGGGTACAAAGGCGCCAAGAGTGGACCGCAAGTTGTTCCGTAACACGTTCGACCGAGTTAACCGACGTCTATTCACCAGCTACAACATAAACCGGTGTTTCATCAAACTTAAGCAACGGCAAGCAATCTGGAGGACAATTGCATGCATCTTCAAGCGGAGCGAGGATGCATAGATATGCAGGAACAAAGGCCACGTTGTTATTCGCCGAAGTAGCAGGCAACGTGATTTTACCAGAAGCAAGGGAACTCAGATTGCGCCTAAGTATCCTAGATATGATCCTAGATATGGAGTCCCAAGCAATTCTGTGCAGATGGTTAAGTGTACGAAGCAGGTGCATTGAGACCAAACACCAAGCGAACTTAAAATGAACCCATTGTGCTGCTGCTGCGCGCCATTACTAGCCATTAAGAAGTCGGATGGTGCAGGGGTCTCGGAAATGAAGCTATCCAGCTGTCTGTCCGTCTATTTCTAGATCCGAAGCTACTTTGAGTGCTAGAGACTACATGCACCTGTTGCAGCACATTGTCTACGTTCACGTGTTTCATTGTGATCACGCGAACAAAGCTGCAGCGATAGTAAAGGATTACATTCATTTGCACCGATGCAGAGGTCATCGGGCAAAACCACGTGGAGGAAGAATGCCTGAAGAGTTGAAGAGGCACTCGAATAAACTAATAAACAATAGGACATAAAAGTGACGATAAGGAGGTCTAGAGATGATTTCGGAGATCACGAACGCCCCAACCGGATGAGAATGCGGCCCTTGGCGCTGATCCTGGAGCTGTTGGCTGCATGACTGATTTTGCAATTGGTAAGACTCACTTCCGGCTTGACAATGATTCATTAACATCGTCGACAGGTATTGTTCTTAATAAACAGTTAATATCTTTTAATTAATCCTAGCTACTTCTAATCTCTCCTAGAGATAGATCTTAAGACCAGGGTATGGTACGAATCACAGAAGCGATTGGCATTTTCTATCAGAGCTTTTATATGATTTTGAACGCGTTGTTCATTATTTAAGACTAAGTCTACCATTGGTATTATCACTAAGCAATTTTCCAATGAAGTTGAACCACTTGACCGTGAGCCGGACCATACATGAAAGGACCTATCAGCGAAAATTTGACAATTGATATTCAGCCGGCAAATACGTGCTTCCGACTCGTGCAAAGATCGGAGCAAATTCCGAGCCCGATCGCGTTCAACTTATCTCACTTATGTCGATCGATGGACATCCGTATTGGAGGAGAAGGTCAACGCGTATATTAACAATCTCGACTGTCGGCAAAAAGCCGATGCATGTATCCGCCTCCTATCGGGATAAAAAGCGAAGTCAGTCGTATAAATTGAGGCAGTAAAGAAGTATTACGAAGTCTTCTTTCTCCCCGAGTACTCGTTTTTGTCTTTCCTCGTCCGGGGAATTGCGCCGCCGGGAACAATTTTCGCGCCTCCCCAGGGACCCCCTGCAGTTCTGGATTCTCTGACCCTAAATGATTAATGCTCCCCTCCTCGTTTTAAGGACGATTAACTGGGAGTCCTTTGAGGGAAATCCGCGACTATGAACGCATCATCCGACGCCGCGAATGGCGCGTAATTGTTGTTGAAAACAATGCCGATTATTAATGGGAGTGATGTATCATCGGCGGGGGAAGTCATGAGACCGTAAAGGGACAATGGTACTTAGACGACGATTGTCCTGGACTCGGAGAAAGATGGATGGTGTCCAGCTCTGAAGAGGGAGCCAAGCATGAGATGCACCTATAACGCCCAACCTGTCGTTAAAAAGCGCGTAAAATGGGTCTTTAGCCCATAAAAAAAATTCCACAATATTGTCCAGGGTTGATTCTGGAGGGTATATGTATTTCTTAAAAATGCCGTAAACTCGGATCTAGCCGTGAGAATATTACTCGCGGCTGCCATCGTGAAAGAGGGCCTTGAGATGGGAAAATGTGAAATGTCTATCGGATGTCGAATAAAACGTCACCTCATCTCGCAGGGATATTAGGGTGCTATTATCGAGCGAGGTTACTTAAAAAGCTTTTTATGCTCAAATGCACTTTCTAAAGGGTTATGCCTAGTAAAGGAGGATTCGCTATTTATCGTTCCATTTCTGCCCGATATGGTGACGCGATTTCAGATAAAATGGGTCTTTCGAATGTTGCTGCGAAAAGATCGGATTTTGCTGGCGGACTAGATTTACACAGCCGAAACCTTAAGAACGGGTGATAATTAATGCAAATTGGATTTTGGACAAAAAACTTGACCGGTGTTGGCTGCATGCATTTGCAGCCGAGGAGCACCTGTTAACGCGATACGCAACTTGACTTACTTTCGCGGGATGTTATTTTCGGCGGGCACCGTTAAGGCGGGATCACGTAGAATTTTCGAAATTGGGACGTCACTTGAAAAAGGTCTTACCTTAACGAATGCTTAAATATGAGACGCAAATTTCTACGAGGACCGCGAATAAATTAATGCTCACCAGTTAAGAAATGTATATTTCTGAGAGATTTCGTCTCATATGGCTTTCAATTCCAGGTATTACCATTATCAGGTCAGGGATAATGTGCATCATATCCTGAAATTTCCAAATTGCAATTTCGGTATGTGGAATGGCCACAAAATCGATTTCAGTGCGTATGCCGGTCGCGGCATAATTTTCGGAATTTAATCCTATCCTTTCCCAAAATGCTTCTGAGCATAAATCTCGACGGGATTTGCAGTTTAAGGGGAACAAAGAAGAGTCGTTAGGATGAAATATAATGACCAGGTCTAGTCGGAGAAAACGCGGGGCCATTTTATTTGTGACATGTAGGCCCGTTTTTCCATGTCCTGGGTTTTACTTCCCTAGGGATCTCTCATGCCATGGAGGATGACCTCTCTGCTTCCAAATCCCTAGGGCCTCCAAACCCCATCAGAAGAAATGGGTATTATTATATATATGGTTATGGTACCCTATAGAGTTGGCTATGTTAACATGTCACTTTATCGTTCATACTTTTCTCAATGTTCATGTCGTTTACCACCATCGAGTTCAAATCGACCCATGGTAATAAAATGTAAAGATAATAGTACCATATTTTTTTATATAGTGAATATTTGGGTAATGAAGCACAGGAAAGAAATATAAAAAGAAGAGAATCGATTTAGATCTAAATGGATCCGGAGAAGGCATGAAGGTAATTCGCAAGGAGCATAAAAAACTTAAGGGGATGTAAAAACGACATATGAGACGTGAATCGTTCATGAAAATTTTCTTCGAACTGGGTCTACCTAATCGATTCAAACTTTGCAACGTGGAAGGTCCTGATATCTAAGAAATTTCAATTTTTATCGAAAAATTTAAAAAATGTCTAAAATCAAATTTAATAAAAATTGATGCTTCGTGGGGGTCAGGACCTTCCTTGTAGGTTTCATTTTCACATTATAAAGTTTGAAACATAAGCGAGAACTCTTTGACGCCACTTTTACATCGCCTTAAAGACGGATAAGTATTGACATTTTCGAGAGAATATTCTTGAAATTTCAATTCACTTAAGACAAAGAAAAGAAAAAAAAAATCCGGAAACTAGAACGAAGATTCTCCTCTTATGATTTCTTAAAGAAGTCGAGCAATCGAGGTAATTTGAAATCGTGAACTTAGAAACATGCCACATGAAAACTCGGAAGAAGTCTGGAAATGGAGTGGAAGGGGACATGAAAAAAAAAATGCGGACCAATTGTCGACTTGAAAAATCAAGAGGAAAGAGAAGAGCGTACATTGGCACAAATATTTAAGTAGGAAGTGAATGCAACGAAACAGTGCCAGTCTATTATTCTGAGAAAATTCAAAGAATTACCGTGAACTTGGATTTAAAGCCAATGAAAGTGATTCCAGTTGGGTAGTGTGGGTAAATGTATGACCTCTTAATGGAGGTTCTAAATGGCCCCTACAATAATGGCAGAGATATTCCACTGATCAAATGAATATTTACTAAATCGTAATAGGCGATTTTGAATATTCGAGATCAGACCTATTCAGCGAAGAGGTGAAGTTCACGATGGGCAAAAACAGAACGAAAAAAGAATCCAGAAGTTGGTCTGTTAATTACCGTTGAACAGAGTACTCAGGTAATTCCGATAGTGCAAGAGGAAGAAAAAGGAAATCGTAATATTTGAAGTGGGGTTAAGTCGGTAAGAAGTTCTCGGCTTGCGGAAGAAGCGATTAAATTCTTTAGGACAGGCCGAAGGGAGAAATTTTCAATTCTTTTATGAGAAGGGAATTTCCTCGGCACTAGCCTACCTTAATACCGCGGAGCTTTCGAAATTTTCCACTCGACTGGATTAATTATTTTTAAAGCTCGAGGAAAAGGACTTCTCGACAGAAGCCATTTTGTTAGCTTTCGAGTGCAGTATAAACGTCATTGTCTAAGATTGCGAATGGACAGTAAGGTTTAAATGCAATTACCACTTAAGTCTGCACAGGATTTAAGGCGAAAGAAAATACCAAGAACTTTTAAAGCGAGAAAAGGAAATTAAGTTTCTCGATAGTTTATGCATTGCGATAAATCCCTTTGCGACGGCTTCATTAACTTAAAAGTAAGGATACAGGAATAAAGAGTTTAGGTATTTCCGATCGTGTGTTATTGTTAATATTCTTTTCAATTACTCCCGAGATCCGTCTCCGATACGACAAATAAAGAGGATCAGCGTGGAATAATCACTCAAAGGACGGAATTCCATAGTAATAACCGGTAACAGCGATGATTCACTATATTAGGACGTAAATTATAATATTCATGAAAAAATTTAGCTCGACTCCAAAGCCAGAATTAATCCAGAATTTGTTATCGAGTATGGCAGATATGCAGCGACGGAAAGAAAATAAACGATAAGGTCATTTGGTTAATATTCAACACGATGCCATGGATCCATCAATCATTTTCATCGCTTCTGCCGTTGCAGCATCCGAGTGCATCTCGCACGTAAAAAGCAGCTTAATATCCGCCCGAAGAATTTCCGCAAAATTCAAACCACTGCAATCAATCATCACCCAAGGGCCTTGTTACCGAAAAAGCTGAAACATAATTCCTCTTCGATTTCCCTTATTTTAACGAACCCCCTGGGAAATGAAAAACAGAGGATTTAACCTGATTTTTTTTTTCCTGGAAAGCCTGATTCGTAAGCTCGTCGACGAGTCAACGAATCCGAGAAATTCAAGAAGTTGTGGGATCAGAAAAAAGAGTCAAGATCATCCCGAGAAAAAGGTCACGGAAGAAACGCGCAGAAGTTCTCTTGTGCAAATATTTCCTCAACGACCTTCTCTCTTTTTTCGCTCGCATACGCGTAACAGTCGAGGAAGAGGAAAAAAGGATTTCTCGGTGTCCCAGAGGGAATGCTAGGAATACTGGAGAGCTTCTTCGATCGCACGGAAGGGCTTAAAGCGAAAGGCATTAAATGCTTCCTCTGGGAGATCCCTGCGGATGGTGTTATTATTCAGACGGTGTCATTATTATTTATTCGCTGTTTCAATCCCGACGATATAGTCCTGAGGTCTCCTTTCGGTGCGAACGCGTGTATTTCGTCCTAGATAATAAAGCTGCTGGTAAACATATGTTCCCACTCTCCATGAATCATGCTTGGCGTTTACATGACACCCTTTCGCGAGAACATGTCCGCTGATCCAAGTTCGAGGATGAGGGATGATTTTGAAGCGGTTCAAAAATTCTGCAGCAGGAAGATACACAAGATGAAATTTCGATTTATTTACAATAAGCTGCGGAAGGAAGCAAAAGTTCAAAAAGTAATTGCTATCGGGGGATAAGTTAA